GCGCTGGAGCCTGGTGAGCGGCCGCTGCACCGCTCCGGGGCTGGCTGCATCCTGCGCCTGTCCAATGCCTGTGGTGGCTGCTGTGGCCATGGTGTCACCCGTTGGACACAGAGTCCCCAGTGCAAATAGCCAGTGTAGGTCGGTACAGGTCAGAGGAGGGACTCAGCCCCGGGCTGACCGGCAGCCTGCCTGTCTGCGGTTGCTGCCCTCAGCGGGCGCCCGGAGGGGTAGGGGTAGGGGCGCCCTGCGGGGTCTGCAGCAGCGACTCTGGGCCGCGCGGGGTGTGCGGCTTCTCACCCCACTCCGCAGACTCGCAGCTGCCAGGGACGTGCGGGGGGAGGGCTGGTCTGCGCCCAGAAAGCGGCCCGGGCAGGCAGCGGCTTTGCCGCTGATGGGGGCTGGTGCGCGGGGCTCCCCGAGTCGGTCTCCCCCTAGTGCCAGCACCCCCACAGTGTCGCCTCCGCTGCAGGCCCCCTGACCTTCATGAACGCGTCCCTGGACGCCTCCCAGCAGGAAGCGGTTTCGTTTGCACTGTCCCAGAAAGAGCTGGCCATCATCCACGGCCCCCCCGGCACCGGGAAGACCACGACGGTGGTGGAGGTCATCCAGCAGGCGGTGAAGCAGGGCCTCAAGGTGCGCGGCCGGCGGCGCTGGCGGCCGCCTGGTCTCTGAGGGTGCGCGGGCCTTGGGGGCCCCGCGAGCTCCGGTCTGGGTGACGGAGCGACTCCGTGGGGGCCGCCGGCCAGGCCTGGCCTTGGCCGTTCGGGATCCCCCGGGAGCCCTGGCGGCAGAGGGAGCGCCGGCTCATCTGGCTCTGAGGGCGGCGCCTGTCGGCTCCCGGCTCGGACCCCGGCTCCCGCGTGTCGCGCCGAGGGCCGGGGGCGGCAGCGGAGGCCGGGGGGCGGCAGCGGAGGCCGCGGCTGGAAACTGTCTGCCCCTCGGGCCCGCCCACGCCGCCTCCGCAGGTGCTGTGCTGTGCACCCTCCAACGTGGCCGTGGACAACCTGGTGGAGCGGCTGGCGCGGAGCAGGCTGAGGCTGCTGCGCCTGGGCCACCCCGCCCGCCTGCTCGAGTCCATCCAGCAGCACTCGCTGGACGCCGTCCTGGCGCGGGGCGACGGTGCCCGCGTGGTGGCCGACATCCGGAAGGACATCGACCAGGCCTTGGTAGGTGCCCGCCCTGCGCCCCCCCCGCGGCCTCATCCACCCCTGAGACGGCTCCCCGAGCCTGTCCACCTCACGCTGTGCCTCCCGGAGGTGGGCACCTGTCCTGCGTCCTGCCTGGGGCCCCCACCGCGCCGGCCACTTGCCTGCCCTGGCCTCCCGGCCCCCAGGAGGGCAGGATGCATGGAGGTGGACATGAGGTCACCCGGCACTCGGGTGAGAGGTGGCACAGGCAGAGCCGGTTGGCGCCGGGCGCCTGGCACCTGTGCCCTGGGCCTCTGAGCCAGCAGCGCCCGCCCGGAGCCAGGCCGGGGAGGGGCTACGGGCGTTTGAGCATTTGAGTTGGGGCTTGAAGCCCTTTTGGGGCTGAAGGACTTCCTGGTCTTGAGCAAATGTAGAAGTCAGGCTGCTGCGTCCCTGGGCAAGTCCAGCAGCCGCCCTGCGGCCCGGGAGCCGTGTCCAGAGCGGCAGCCCAGCCTGAGCGCCCGGCCGCCCCCCGGCCTCCAGGCAGCTGTCCCTCGGGCTGCGACGGCGCTTAGCCCCTGTGTTCTGTCGCTCTGTCGGAGGCGCTTCTGAGTGCCTTCGAGGAGCCACTGGGAGTGGCTGGCTGTGAGCCAGGACGTGGCGCGAGCACCCGGCTGGCGAGCCCCGTGCAGCATCCGCTAGAGCAGCGGCTGTCTTCTCCGCAGGCGAGAAGCAGGAAGACCCAGGACAAGGGCGAGAGGAGCAGTGTCCGAGACGAAGTCCGGCAGCTGAGGAAGGAGCTGAAGGCGAGGGAGGAGGCGGCCATGCTGCAGAGCCTCCGCTCGGCCGACGTGGTCCTGGCCACCAACACGGGTGGGTCCCCATGGCCCGCGGCCCGGCCCAGGAGGCCCCTCTGGCCCGGGTTCCCTGGGAGCGCTCGAGGCCTCCCGCTGCGGCCCGCAAGTGCTGCCTCCGGCCGTCGCGGCCTGGGCTCAGGGCCGCTGCGGAGCGGGGGGCAGGCGGGACTGAGGGGCACGCTGCCAGGCGGCGGCGGCCCGGGTTGGTTTCCGCAGAGCTGACTCGTTCTCCAGAGCTCCTCGGGCTTGCTGACCGCCTCCTCAGCCGACTTAAACTGGGCCTTGGGGTGCTCTCGGGGCTGCCCCGCCCCGTTCTGGATCTGCTGGGCCTTTCAGGGCCCTTCGGGAGGGGCGGGGGCGCAGTAGAGTTTGGGCAGCGCCTGCCTCGACCCCCGCAGCCCGCTCTGTCTGCCTGGCCAGGCTGGCTGCCGAGGCGTCAGGCTGCCCGTGGACACGCTGCCCCCTGGTTAAACGTGGGGACTGGGCCAGGAGCTTTTCAGAATGTCCCGGGTGTGTTCAGGAGCGAAGCCACAGTGTGGGGCTGGGCGCCAAGACAGGCGTGGGCACCTCCCCGCTGGCCGGCGCTCAGGGCACACACGTCCCACAGGTGCGTCCTCGGACGGCCCCCTGAGGCTGCTGCCGGACGGCTCCTTCGATGTGGTGGTCATCGACGAGTGTGCCCAGGCCCTGGAGGCCAGCTGCTGGGTCCCCCTGCTGAAGGCGGGGAAGTGCATCCTGGCGGGCGACCACAAGCAGCTGCCCCCCACCATCACCTCCCGCAAGTAGGTGCCTGCCCCCAGCAGCGGCCCGGGGTGGCGAGTGCCCCCAAGGGCGGCCCCCGCCGCCGTCCCCGGCGCCCAGGGCACGTTGGGTGGTGGTCTCCGGTGGGCCGGCCGCTCCTGGCTGTGCTGGCCGGCGGCCGGTGCTTGGACGGCAGCCCAGGCGGGCGCAGTGCTGACCTGCGTGTGGCCACACCAGGCCCATCCTGCCCTCCTCTGCCCGCCCCGTGCCCGCCGACCCCTCTGGCCCCCCTCACCCTGGCTCGCGGTGGGCAGTCTCTCTCTCCTGGGACGCCCCATTTAAACACGGCGTCCCGCCCATGGCGGGTGGCTCGCGGCGTCTCCCGGCCAGACACGCAGGCGTGGGCCGCGTGTCCCCC